ACGGATAGCATCCAGTACGTTCGGAAGTTCCACGGCTGTCAGATACATGCAGTAATGATAAAGGTGCCTCCAAATGAGCTTGATGCAACAAGCTCACCATGGTTGTTCGCGGCCTGGGGAATGGATGTTATTGGACAAATCGAGCATGCCGCTTCTAACGGGCACATGTTTATCTTAGTAGCAATCGACTACTTCACCAAATGGGTTGAAGCAGTATCTTACATAGCATTAACTAAGAAAGTTGTGGCAGACTTTGTCCGCGACCGCATTCTTTGTCGATTCGGGACTCCAAAGTCGATCATTATTTATAATGGCTCCAACCTCAATAGTGACTTGATGAAAGCTATGTGTGAAACCTTCAAGATCATACACAAGAATTCCATAGCCTATAGGCCTCTGATGAATGGAGTTGTAAAGGCCGCCAACAAGAATATCAAGAAGATATTGATGAAAATGATAGAGAAGTATAAACAGTGGCACGAGAAGTTATCATTTTCTCTATTAGGGTATTGCACCACAGTCCGCACATCAACCGAGGAAACCCTCTATATGCTGGTTTATGGTACAGAGGTAGTCATTCCCGTCGAGGTAGAAATTCCTTCCCTAAGGATCATATAAGAAGCTGATCTCGATGACGCAGCGTGGGTAAAAAGTCGTTATGAGCAACTAGCCCTTATAGACGGAAAGAGAATGAATCCAGTTTTCCATGGTCAACTCTATCAGAACAGAATATCCAGGGCCTTCAACAAGAGAGTCAAACCAAGACAATTCACACCGGGGTAACTGGTGTTAAAGAAAAATTTTCCACATCAAGATGAAGCCAAAGGGAAGTTCTCTCCCAACTGGCAGGGTCAATACATGGTTCATCGGGTTCTGACGGAAGGAGCCCTCATAATTGTAGAAATAGACGGAGAAGTCTGGCCAAAGCCAATTAACTCAGATGCAATCAAGTGTTACTATGTGTAATCTTTATGCTTCCCTTATATGATGAAAATTGAACAATGCCTGACCTGATTCCCATTTAAGAGTGGATACTTAGGTAGCCCTATGGGTTCGGTCACCATTCAATAAAATTTTCATTTCCCCCTGCAGTTGGAAACTGGGGCAGAATTTTGAGGAGGACCCTCAAAATTCCGAAGTAATTTCAGCCAATCGTCACAAGCAACAGTCAGAAGCATCAACCTATTCAACTGGGGTAGAATTTTGAGGGGGCCCTCAAAATTCCATAGCTAGAGAGGTTGCAATGTCCCGAGCTACGTCGCAGTCATTGGTTCATCTGAAAAGCTATCTTAATTATATAATTATGTTATATTTTGACAAAATCGTGCATGTTTCTTACTAAAATTGCTTTGTTTAGCAATGCTACCCCAATGATACATGCAGTATCACTAGATCAAAACCGAGCAGGTCAAGCAAGGCCAGCGGGGATACTAACTAACCTCCCTCCTCTACAAAAATCACGATTTTTCTTTGGATGCAGGCACTTGAATTGCGAAATCATCAAGCATACTATACACTAATGGGACAAACATTATTTAGGAACACGACTCTCTGAACTGTTATACTTGCAAACATTTTCTATCATCATACACCAGTGATGCCCTGTATGTCACAATGATCCTAGTAATCGCAATACCGCAATCTGCTATCAGCTAAGAAAGATCTACCACCATTTGCCATTTTATTTCTTGCATAAGGCTATTACTCTGGTTCCGAGGTTATGCTCTACCTTCATCTGCATTTGCATTGCATAAGGCTACTATTCTGCCTTCCGAGACTAAACGCTGTCTCTATCTGCATTCTTGCATAAGGCTACCATTCTGCCTTCAGAGACTAAACGTTGTCTCCGTCTGCATCTGCATTTGCATTGCATAAGGCTACTATTCTGCCTTCCGAGACTAAACGCTGTCTCTATCTGCATTCTTGCATAAGGCTACCATTCTGCCTTCAGAGACTAAACGTTGTCTCCGTCTGCATCTGCATTTGCATTGCATAAGGCTACTATTCTGCCTTCCACCTTGGATAAGGCAACCATTCTACCTTCCAAGACTAAACATTGTCTCCATCTGCATTCTTGCATAAGGCTACCATTCTACCTTCTGAGACTAAACGTTGTCTCCATTTGCATCTACGTCCTTGCATAAGGCTACTATATTGCCTTCCGAGGTTAAGCTCTACCTCTCTCCGCATTTGCATCTTTGCATAAGGCTAGCATTCTGCCTTCCAAGGCTAAGCTCTGCCTCCAATTTTCTTCGAGAATAAGCACTATCTCAAGCATCATTTATTTCGTTTCTCTTACGAGATAAGCTCTGCCTTTCAATTTGCAAGACTAAGCTCTGTCTTGTCCGCATCATGCTACTGCATGTCATAGGCTGAAAGATCGCCTTATACTACATTTCATGGGCTAAAAGATTGCCTCATACTGCATCTCATGGGCTAAAAGATAGCCAAATTATCTAAAGGCGTCATCGTTCGGAGGCACCATCTTCATAGCCCGAGAACACCATGTCATGGCCTGAGGATCCCTTTTAATTTTTGCATATCATTATTCAAAGGCATCATGTTCGGAGACACCATCCTCAGAGCCCGAGAGCATCATTTCATGGCTTGTGAATCCTTATTGTACGCTTCATGTCCCAGGATGACATGGTCTAAGGATGTCATTCTAACTGTCCGAAGACAACATTCATGGTCCGACAGGAATTTGCATCATGTTTAAATATATGCGTGATATAGGCTTGTATTGTTTCTAATTATAGGTACACTGGCGAGCTACGGACATCCCGGCAGGAGCGATCCCGCTCCAATTTTCGCAGCCATGTCGAACCTAGACATTCCCACAAGTCGTCTGCTCACCCCATCCTGGATATTACGTCCGTTCTTGAAAAGCCTCCATCGGCATACATCGCCGACAGATCCTGAACTACATATGTCCTGACTCCTATAAAACCAGGGATATGTAGGTAGCTCAAAAAGCCAGGGTATGGCCTAAACCTCTTCGAACCATTTCGCTCAGTCAAAATTAGCCATCATATCTTTACCCGACAACTCTTTCATCCTTCCCGGGTAAAGAAGGGCAGTTGTTGATACCCAATTTTTCTCTATATATTTTCAATATGCAAAATAACTTCAAAATGGCATATATATGCACATGTAAGCATATCCAAGTGTTTTATTATTTTTCCACAATTTTTAAAGTTTTTTAAACCAATTTATTTTCCTTTTTTATCCATAAAACCCCAATAGTTATTCAAAAATTATTATTTTGGTAATTCATTTGTTCGTATTTCCAGTGTACAGTTCGGATTTTCCAGTGTACGATGATTGGAGATAGTTTTCGAGTCATCGAGTTTTTTTAAGCTTGAAGCCGCTTCTCCAAACTCGAAGTTGCATTGTGAGGGCTTTGTGAGCCGAGGGTTCCGACCCTGGGGTCGTGTGGGCGCTGAATAATTTTAGTTTCCGAGTATCTCGGGACATATTTGGCGAAGAGGCTTCTGTCGAGAGTATATTATGATTTTCCCTTTTGGAGAATGAGATGTTTGGAAGATATTCTCTGATCAATTGGCGCAATACACATGTTTTTGTGTCGAGTCAATCTATTTTTAGGTCAAGTTTGGTTGCTCCGATGATTTTCACATTGTCGTACTCTGAGAAGTAGCCTTTTAATTTTTTCATGGAAAAATGGGTATTTTTTGATTGCTCGATATAATAGTACATGCTACCGCTTTGGCGGGGTCTGATTACCTCGACTGTTTGGCCCGATACATCATCTCGCTGTAGGAACATTTGCTTGGCATTTCCCCACCTCCTTCAAATCGGGTGACTTCCAGGGGGAATGCCCCTCGCCGCTTAAAAGTTTGCCATAAGGGTGGAATCGAGCAATTCGTGGAGTTTCCCCTTTAGGAAGCTTCACACACATTGCCTCATTAAAAACCTTGCCGGTAAAAACCCTTCTTTTTTGGGATAAAAACTCGGTCGAAGGAAAAGAGTGTAACGAGCGCGCTTTCAGGGGGTCTCGAGGCCTCCTGATAGTGTTAGCGTTATGGTATCTCTGGTCGAGTGCCTGCACGAGGGTCACTTCTTAATCCGAAATGAAACAAAAGGAATGGCTATACCTTGAAACGAGATATGCTAGTGGCACCTTGAGATTGGCTTATTATGACCGCCTGAGCGCGGACATGCGATGCAGATTTCTACTTCGTGTTGTCAAACCCGACCGGGGTTGAGACATGATTCACCCGCTAGCTTATTCGGGAGCGAGGGTATGGGCGCTGATAACACGTCGTGTATTGCAAACATTTCCTTTTCCACGTGTTGTTCCCTATAGATGGTTTTTTTTTTCAATCCGCTAGGCAAGCGCCTAGGGCTAGTTTTTTTATTAAAAATAGAAAAGAAAATACAATAATTAGTAATTTGTCATTGTCTTCCTTCAATGAAAGGAAATAGACTTTGCACTCTAATGTAACGTACTATCAAAATTGAGCATAATACTCAAATTAATATCACATTATGCCTACTAAAACTTTGTAGTTGTCAAAACAGCCCAAGTGAGTCCATGTCGACGTTGTATCTACAGTCCAAAGCGTCCCAGTTGTAGAGTTAAATTTGATTTGCGTGAATAGCCCCTTTTCAGCAACTTCACGTCGACTCCACCAATTTTGTAGCTTGGTACTGTAGCATGTCACTGTAGCATACGACACTGTAGCGTACTGCAATGTAGCATACGACACTGTAGCATTTCACTGTAGCATTTCACTATAGCAGACGTTATCTTTTGAAGACTTCAGGCTTGCTTCCCAAAGCACATGCCTTCCTCTTGCATGTGCCCATTCTTTCTCCAAGGAGCATGTTGTGATTCTTCCAAGGAGCATGCTTTGAGGCTTGTGAATACCAAGATTGGGAGATGATCCATGTATTAAAAATTGTACCAACTCCTCCACCCAATGTTAGCTATTTTAAAATTCCAAGAGGGCCTTGTTTGTCAAGACAATGTTAGCTTTTTAGCGTGACATTGCCAAGCTTTTGTATGCTTTTGACTGTTGTTGTGCCTGCCTTGATTGACAAAATCCCATGTAGAATAATGCTTCCATTAAGAAAGCCATAAACAAACTTGCAAACCAGCTGTTGGACGAAGCATGCTTTAATATAAAAATCAAAAACTGCATTGGCCTTTGTTGCCACCTTTTTTTGAAGACATTCTTTCTGCACATGCTAGTTGTGTTTCCAATGCGTTTTGGTTCTTGTTGTGCTCGAAATGAAGATCAATCATTTTTATATTCCCAGATCCTGTCTCGAACTGAAGCATGCATGTGTTTTGCCCCTTTAAAATTGCATTTTCTGCTTCTGTACAAATGTATTTAAAGTAGTGAATCTCGGTAATAGTTCAAGCTATTAAAAGTTGCATTTGCTTTTTGGTCAACTGGCATATTCTCCTCGAAATTAAGCACTTCTGCACCATGTTGGTTGTATATCCAAAGAATTGAAAGCACGCGATCACCCCATGCTGGTTGGGTTTCCAATGCCCTTAGTCTTTGTTGTTGTGCTCGATTATTGATGTGTTTTTGTTATTTAGCAAAGGCTCAAAAAGTTGCTGCATTGAGTGCCATAAGCAAATGTTGTGGCACCTCATGCTCTTCCTTTTCTCTTTGCTTCTTATCTCCTGTCCACCTTCACCCTTAGCCTTGGACATTGCATCTTATCTTCATTAACTAACCTCCTTCCCTGTGCATCTAGATGCCAGAATTGTTGGCATTTTATTTCTCCATGATCTAAAGCATAATTAGCCAAGTGATCTGCCAGTTTGTTCCCCTCCCTATGAATATGAGTAACTGTGTAATTGTCCCCATTCATTAGTTGCATCATTTCCTCTACCTGCTCAGATATGATCCATGGTGGTTTCCAGATCCCATCCATTATCTTTTTAATAACATTGAGTCAGTTTGAAGCCATACATGAGAGTATTGTTGAAATCTGCAGAACCTTAGTACTTCTACCATGTCCTTCGCTTCAGCTACTGTGTTTGTTGTCTCCTTAATCTGCTTCCCTACTGACTTGACTATGTCACCATTTTCATTTCTTATACAAAAACCTATTGAGCTCCTGCCTGGATTTCCCCTCGATGCACCATCCGTATTAACTTTTAGCCATCCTGCACTTGGAAGTTCCCACATGACTTTGGTAACCTTAAGTTTAGGAGTGAAATTTTCCATCATAGCTAATAAATCTTGCCATTTGTGAGGTACCATTTCCATCCCAGGCTTTCTCACTATCACCAATGCTTGTAGACTTGATGAAACTTGATAAATCACCCTGCTAGTTGTCACAACATCACCATACTTCATACTATTTCTTCTTTTCCAGAGTTCCCAGACTGCACACGAGGGGAGTGCTTGCATTACTGGTTTGAGCCTTAAGCACACATTTGCAGTCCAACATTTTATGATTGCTTGGTGCAAAGTAAGTCCCTCCACAGCTATTCCTGCCCTCGACAGAAAATACTTCCAAGTTGTCCTTGCAGTTTCTGATCTAAAAACAAGTGAGACATTCCTCGTCAGGTTGTACACAACTCCAACATTTTGATGGCATATAGTAGCCTACCCTTTTAAAGAAATCATCTAAAGGTAGCTTTGCTTTCCACACTTTCCACATGAAAAATGCTATTTTAAAAGGCAGTCCCTTTACCCAAATCATTCTATAAGCTGTTCTTGGCTCGTCTCTTCTTCTCGTATAATCCCATGCTAACTTAACACTGAAATATCCTCTTGTTTCTAGCATCCAACAAGGCATGTCAAGAACCTGCTGAGGTGAAGGTGGGTTGATTTTCTCCAGAATGTATACTGCTAAATCTTCAGGAAGCATTTCAAATAGCCTGTCCACATCCCACTCACCATCTAAGGTAACATCATGTACATTATGTATAGTTTCATCAATGCCAAAGTCCTGAGGAACTAGAAAATATAGTGCCCCAAGACCTGTCCAATTTTCAAACCAAAATAGTGAGGATCCCCTTTTTGTTTGCCAAAATATTTGATGTTCAATAAGATCTCTGCATTCCAACATTTTTCTCCAAATGTGAGACCCTCTTTTCCATGGAACAATTACCGAATTCAATTTTTTACAGTATTTTTGACATACGAAAGAGCTCCATAGGCTTTGTTTTGTTCTGAAATTCCACCACAACTTGCTGAATAATGCCTTTGCTACATCATGCAGTGACCTGAAACCTATTCCTCCTTCCTCAACTGGCATGCATAAGGTATTCCATGAAGCCCAATGCCTACTAGTTCCTCCTACAGAGCTGCTCCAGAAAAACTGAGCAAACAATTTGTGCAACCTATTTATCACATAATTTGGAGGGTTTACAGCTGATAATAGATGCATAGGCATGCTTTGCAGTACATGGGATATGAGAACTGCCCTGCCCCCTACTGAAATAACTTACCCTGCCATGATTGCAGTTTGTCCATTACCTTAGTAATTAGGGGCTGATAGTATTCCAGCTTTCTCCTTGCATAAAATATAGGACAACCTAGATATATGATAGGAAAATCATTCCTATGAATGCCTGTGATCCTTTCCACCTTGCTGACCACTTCCATGTCTGTTAAATGATGCAGGTACACAGTTGATTTGGTCTTGTTAACAAGCTACCCAGATGCAGCTTCATATGCATTCAACACTTGCATAATCAACATCAGAGATGTTTCATCTGAGGATGAGAAAATAATCATGTCATTTGCATACACCAAATGATTGATCTTTGGACTCCACTTTGGCATCCCAAATCCACAAAAATACAGGTTAGTATGTAGTGCATTGAGACCCCTAGATAATGCTTCTGCTGCCAAGATAAACAAAGTTGGAGATACAGGATCACCTTGTTTTACTCCCCTTGAGGACTTAAAGAACCCATGAGCTTGACCATTGATTAGAATAGAATACCAATTGTTTGAAACTAATCCAAAGACAATCCCTATCAACCTTTCTGTGAATCCCATCTTTCTCAGTACCTTGGTTAGGAATAGCCAAGATAATCTATCATAAGATTTGGTCATATCTAGCTTCAGGATGACATTGGGTCCAGCCTTAGTTCTAAGCCTAATGTCAGTCACTATCTCCTGAGTTAGAATGATGTTTTCTACAATATTCCTGCCCTTAACAAAACCTGACTGTTCCTCCGATATCAGACTTGGGAGAAATTTCACTAGCCTTTCATGTACCACCATTGATATAACTTTATTTGAAAAGTTACTGAGGCTTATTGGTCTTAAATCAGAAAAAGTGGTAACTTCTTTTTTCTTTGGTAGCAGAACTAGGTTGGTGTGTGTTACACACTTGGGTAGATCATGACCATTGAAAAAAGCCCTCACCATATCGTACAGGTCATCCCCAATTATGTCCCAATAAGAATGATAGAATTTGCCTGTCATACCATCTGCCCCCCAGCACTATCACCATTAAGTCTGAGTACTACCACTTTAACCTCCTCTTTTGTTGGCTGCTTAATCAATTCTGCATTCTGCTCAATGTTAACCAGGTTAGGAACATGCTCTATGATATCAAATGATGAAGGAGTAGCTGCTTCTGTGAACTGTTCCTCGTAAAATTTGATAGCCTCTTCTGCAATTTCTTGTTCTTCTTCAATCCAGGCTCCTCCACTATTTTGAATTCTGTTAAGCTGAAGTCTCTTCCTCCTACCCCTCACTTGTATGTGGAAGAACTTAGTGTTCCTATACCCTTCCTTGCACGAAGTCATGCCAGCCTTTTGTTGCCAATATTTCTCCTCTAGTGCAAGACATTTGATCAATTCCGCCTGAACCTTTTGTAGCCTTTCCCTGTTCATCCCTGTAGGATTTGCTTCAAATTCTGCTTCATGAACCATCACTACCTCCTCCATGCTTGCTATCTTTTGGAAAATATCTCCAAATGTAGCCTTGCTCCACAATGAAAGGGCTTTTTTTTAATTTTTTTAACTTGTGATTAAAAAGAATATAAGGATTTGCACTGAAATCAGCTGTCCAATTCTCTTTCACCACATCTTTAAAAGTCTCATGTTCCACCCAAAAATTCAAGAACTTAAAAGGCTTTTTTATTGGTAGAGTCTCAATATCACACTTCAGATACATTGGACTATGATCGGAACCAGTCTTTGACAAATGTTGCACCTCTATTCCTGGAAATGTTTGTTGGAACTGAACATTGGCCAAGCATCTGTCTAGCCTTTTGAATATACAGTCTTCCTCTGCTCTCCCATTCCACCATATAAATATGCTACCTTTAAATCCAAGGTCGAAGAGATTGCACGTGTTGACGCAGTGTCGAAAATCATCAATTTCATTCAAAGACACAGGTAACCCACTAAACTTCTCTTCTTCATCCCATATTACATTGAAATCTCCTCCTACAAGCCATTGTGCATCCATATCCCTTTCCATTTCATATAATGAATCCCATAATTCTATCCTCTCAATTGCATCACATTTAGCATATATCAATGTTAGGACAAACTCCGCATGCTTTTCAGTATGAAACAATCGTAGTGTTAATTGTTGTACCATATTGTACATAACAACTACCTCAAATACCTCATCTATGAAAGCCCAGATCTTGTTGGAAACATTTGAAATTGCTTGTGCAAGTCCTATCTTGTTTTTGTACCTTTCCAATTTTTTTGCTTGTTGCTTTGGCTCCATTAATCCTACAAATTCATAGTGATTTTTCCTGTGCATTTTTGTCAATCTTTCAAAGGCCTGTTGTGTGTTGACTGACCTTATATTCCAAATGAGAGCATTCATCACTGATTGTTTGATTTAGTTAGCATTCTCCTTGTGTGAACCCCAGGTTTTGGGGCTGCAAAATTATCTTTTTGTTGCTTCTTCTTACCTTTTGCTACTGATTTTGCCTTTTCCACTTGCGTAGGTGATAAGTCACCTTGCCTTGCAGCATTTATAAGGTGTTGGGTAGTTGATTCGTGATCCATATTGTATCCTGATCTACCAGGTTCTTCTCCTTCTTTATTGTCTTCCTTCCCTCCTGATGTAGCTCCAAATACATTCTTTTTAGGGACTAAGGCCTTCTCTTCTCCTTGTTTTAACAGTTGCAACTGCTTTTTCTCCAATGTAACAGTAACATTTACCGTTTCTGTTTTTTGTTTTGGGTGTTTCTCCTTCTCTGTTGGGTTGTGTCCTTGTGGGTCTTCTTGTGATTTCTGAAGTTTATCGTCTTCTGTTCCTCTAGGATCATTTACCTCTAGGCCTCTTCCTTCATAGTTTCTAATTTCTGTGACTTCTGCTATCTGATAATTATTGTTGTGCTCAACAATTTCTGATCCTCCCATTATTAAAAAATTACCAGTTGTATTGTTGTCATTGGCATGGAGCTCTCCATTTACACTTTGCTCATTTACACTTTGCTCATCTTCTTCTTTGTCCTTCTCATTTGGTTCCTCATCAGCTTGTGCTCCTAGTGGTACTTCGTTCTCCTCTGAATCGTATTCCCTTTGTGCATCCCATAGCCTGCCTCCATAGCCTTGCACTCTTTCTTTAAATGTAGACGATTTTGACCCTTCTGCTTGAGAAGTTGGAGTTTTATTAAGTTCCTTTTTCACAAATGTATCTTATGATGGGATTTCCCGGCATGATGTATTGATCTTCACTATTCCATCTCCCGTTTTATCCTCGAAACTTCTTTCTACCCATTGTGCAGTATCGTTTTTTGCTTTTGATGCCTCATTTCCATTGAC